AAGCAGCACCATAAACTCATCCTAAAGGGGTTCTAAACTGCAGTCCCACTCAATGATGCAACAGGATAATCAGCAATGGACACTAGAACCTCAGTAGGAAATGATGGCCTGACCCATACCCCTGAAAATAGATGCAAATATATACTAAGTATGGTCATCTATCCACTTCTTATGCTTTTCCTTGCACCTTTTAGTTTATAAGAAATTCTATCAAGATGTTCAAAAAGAGCACAGCTATCTAAAAGGCAGAAATATCCCTGTAATCCCAGCAGCTCAGGAGGCTGAGGAAAGAGGATCGTGAGTTAAAAGATAGCCTCAGCATTAGTGAGGCACTAAGCAACTCAGTGGGACCCTGTCTCTAAATAAAATACAAAATAGGGCTGAGGATGTGGTTCAGTGATCAAGTGACCCTGAGTTCAAACTTTAGTACCAAAAACTAAATAAATAGATAGATAGATAGATAGATAGATAGATAGATAGATAGATAGATAGATGGATGGATGATAGATAATCTGAAGCATGCACAAATAGCTTTCATAAGGAGGAATGATTTTCATTTGAATGGTGTAGGAATTCTGAAGGGATAAATCAATAATGTTCATCCTAGACTCATGAAGTCCAAATTCATAGTATCCTGAATTTGTAAATGAGGTAATAGAGTAAACAGAAGACAAAAGAACAGAGGCAGCTTCAGTTTGTCCAAGGAGAGACTAATGTGATTTCAGGCCCTGAGAAATAGTTGAAAACTCAAGACACATCTGGATGGCTCTAGCACAGGGTTCAACTGTCTTTTCAGAGAAATACACAGATTTCTTTATCCTCCTGGATCCAGCTTCTCAGGCCTGATCACTGACCAGAGCACTGGGCAGGGTTTGGGAGTACCTGAGAGATGGTCAACTTTCTCCCAAGTATTGGCCTCTATGATAAACAGAGTAGGCTGAGGGTTTGGAAGCTATGAGAAGACTGGTTAGTTCAGTGAATGTACACAGTAGCTACAAGGTAAGGAGATAAGCAAGTTATTAACAGATGTCTTCAGAAGCTTACATTTCTAGCAAGGACTGGTATAAACTCAGAAATTGTTCTTATAAACTCTTCCAGAGGGTCAAAATGCTCATTCTATCACTCTAGACCCCAATGCTCGGTTCAGAATTAATATAGCAGTGAGGCTTGAGCTTCCCTTGAGCTTGGCCATCTCATGGAAGTTCCAGGGGCAGTTACTTCCTTCAAAGGAACCAAGAATCTTTCCAAAGCCAGAAATTCACCTCAGAAACCTGGACACTACAGCTTTCATTCTGCATTTAGGATATAATTATCTGATTTTTCCTGCCAAGGAAAATATTTCTAATAGTAGTATGTATACATTTGAGACTTACTATACATATGTCTAAATGTTTAATCAGAATAATTGTCTCAATTTTACACTTGGAAAAAATCTCCATTTCTAACTCCCCTTTGCAGTTTTTGCCATTCAATAGTTAGAGGGAAACTTTTGTTTCAGTTTTAAAATGAATAGTCAATCTAAAACTTGAATATTTTTCTTTTAATTGTGTGTGTGTGTGTGTGTGTGTGTGTGAGAGAGAGAGAGAGAGAGAGAGAGAGAGAGAGAGAGAGAGAGAGAGAGAGAGAGAGAGAGAGAGAGAGAGAGAGAGACAGACAGACAGACAGAGAGAGAGTGAGGGAGGGAGGGAGGGAGAGTTGTGCTTGGCTGCATTTCTATTTAAATGTTTTTTCTTATTGATTTGTATGACAATTGCTAATATTTTCCTAGCTTTTCACATGTTAACTTCATTTAGTGATATTTTACCCATACAGAGTAATCTTTTTTGCACTATTTCTGCCTTCATTACCATGGTTAGGAAAGACTTTCTATGCCAAGATTATAAAACCAATAATCCATCTGTACTTCTGAGCCTTTTATGGATCTGTGTCTACAATCTACATTTAATCCATCTGGAGGTTATCTTGGTGTTAGCATAAAATGACCAAGCCGGGTGCAAACTTCACAGATCAGCACAGCTTTTATTCAGCAATGAAATCATACATGTGACGGACCCACTTTCCTAGTGGGAAATGAGCTGCTGGCCAAAGGGGAAGTCTGGCTTATATGGTTACACTGGGAGATGACTTAATTATTGACAGAGCATGTCAGTTTGAGCACTCAGGAAAGAGATTTGTTTTTTACTGGGCAATGTTGTGAGAACTTGAGATTTGTTTTTACTGGGCAATATTTTGACTTGGAGAAAATGGAGGGTCTGGGGTCAGTGGTCAGTATTTATCTCTTTCCCTCCAGGGTCCCATTGCACTGTCACCGGGAAAGGATTTATTTGGGGAAGGATCAATGCTTTGGCCTCCTCCCAGAGGCTGTCATTCTAGGCTTGATGGATATCTCCTCCCCAGGGATTGCCTTGCCACTGGGAAAGAACATATTAGGAAATGATCAATGTAATCAGTGTTACCTTCTTCCTCACTCCCTCTTCCCAGGCCACACTATTTTGTGGTTTGTCGTTTTCCATATCTTATATTGGTATAGTAATTAAGTAAACATTTAACTTTACTTTTCCCCGCAAATGGCTGGACTTCTGTCATACCACCATTTACTGAATTATTTTTCCTCCCCCTAACATTTTGAAATGGCTATGAAGTTTGAGGAATAATTTTGTGACAAGCTTTCAACCCTACACTGCTGATGGGATTTTCCTTTACCCCTCACTGAACACCCTCCTTCCTGCTAATTGCCTTCAAATGTGGGTTGTGACTGAGGACCTGGTCCCATTTAGGAACTTGGCAAAGACTGGTGTCTATCAAGGGAGAGCTGGGTCTCATCTGAATCTCATCAACTCCAGTCCTAACCTCTCTTTTCCCCACTTTCCATTCAATGTATCCACTTTCCTGAGACCACTTAAGGAAATTTTTGTAGATTTAGGAGAGAAACATGAATATAATTCCACTTCATAGCCACCTTTTCCCACCAAATACTTGGCATCTACCTTCATGGCAGTATCTGAAACTTGTCCTACTCCTAYAGCTGGTCTTGGCTTCAATGGGACCAATATACCTGGAGTGACTTCAAGATACTTGGTGCTGGAGTGGGGTTGTGGCTCAGTGGTAGAGTGCTCACCTAGCACGTGTGAGGCCCTGGGTTCGATCCTCAGCACCACATGTAAAAAATAAGTTTAAAAAAGATATAGTGTCCAACTACAACTAAAAAATAAACATTTAAAAAACAAAAGATTCTTGGTGCTATTTATCAGCAGGGGGAAACATTCCTAGCCCCCCTGAGGGAGGGCACATGAATCCTCACCCACACAGAGCTCTGGGGAATGGAGAACAATTACACAGGACTATCTCAACAGACACAAAGACTGGGCTTTGGAGAATAGTAATGTCTGTTTGTGGCTGCTCCAGAAATAACAGAAAGAGAGGTGATTGTGAAGGAGGCAATCCAGGAATCTTTGCAGTGCTGCTGAGGTGCCCTCCAGGAATGGTGAGCTTCTGGGCAGTAGCAGCTTGGACTTGGATTCTGACCAAAGTTTGAGGAAGGTGGTGTGTTTCTGTTCTGTCTACAATGTCAGTACCCTCTCGAAAAAGCAGAGAGGATGTCTTGCTCCCATTTGTGTTTCCAGCACTTAGCACAGCACCTGACACTTAAAACGGACTCAACTCAAGGTTGAATGAAATGATTCATTAGCAATATTAATAACATTTAGGAATCAGCATTATTTCCATAACACAAAAGCATATTTGTGAAATTAAATATTTCTTTTGTCTAATTGATATGTGGCTTTGGAGTAGAGAACAAGCTCACAGTAACAGGAAGAGTTCCTATGAAGCCCTGCATTCAACAGGATAGACAAGAATACTAAGGGCAGGCTGTAGCTGGGGTAGAGCACCTGCCTCGCATGTGTGAGGCCCTAGGTTCAATCCTCAGCACCGCATAAAAACAAATAAATAAAGATATTGTGCCCATCTACAACTAAAAAAAAATAAGAAGAAAAAGAATACTGAGTGAGTATTGTGGAGGCAGGGATCCCCAGAGCAGTACAGTTCACACCACGAAAGAGTGCTCCAAGAGGAAGCCAGGATCTTGTAAAAGTATATTCGAAGGCGGCTTAAGGCATTTTATAGAGCCTTTATATCATGGATGTTCACAAACAACCATGTACCCTCCCAAGGCCAAGGACGTGGCTGCCTGTACTCTTGACTTTCTTCAGAGAAGCCCCGTGAAAAAGGGTTCCTGCCCCAGGCGCTGAATCATCTTCAGGATTTATAATTCTCAATTCTTCAGTCACATCTTTATTTAAGAAGAAAGACTTGAGTTGCTACTCTAGGAAATAGTTTTCTCTCCGTAATCCTTAGGTCCAGGTATTCGTTCTGCATTCACGAAGTCCCACCCTTTGCCCTCAAGACGCGAGGTCGCCGGCCATGCCCAGATGCATCCTCCCGGCTCTGCGCCCCAGGCTCCCACCGTACCCAGAATCCCCAAGCTCGTCAGTGGTGCGTCTACACGGAATTCAAGACCATCCGCTGCCTGATGGCATCTCACCCTTTACTCCTAGTAAGAATTCTTATTAAATGGACCGGAAGTGTGTTCCAAATTCTTCCACATTTTAAACGCTACTCCGGTGTCAGACACCCCATGACACAACACTTAAATCTTTGCCCACGCAGTGACTCAACATATAACTTCTGAGAATCAGAGGCTTAATCGCCTGCTTTGCCCCAGGACTTTTCTTCCCTCGAAACCCTGCCAACAGGGTTTCCTCTGTGCCGGCTTCCTAGYCTGGGGGGTTCCCACGCCGCGTTCACCCCGGGGCGCACTTTCACCCCACGCTGCTCCCACCTCAGGTCTCGCGCGCCGCAGACTACGCTTCCCACAGTGCCCCGGGCCGCGCGCGGGATCCTGGGAGCTGTGGTCCGGCCGCCGCGGGGCGCTGCTGAAGCGGGCTTAGCGCCGGCCTTTGTCTATCTGCGGGCGCGCGCCGCTGCGGTGAGTGAGGCCGCGGTCGGGTCCATGCGCCCGGGCGAGGCGGGGCCGCGCTGTCAGGCCGCCCCTGGGCCCTCCGCGCGGCCGCGAGCAGGCCGGGCCTTGAGGGTAGCGGCCCGCGGCCCACAGAGAAGCGTCCACTGGGCTGGAAGCAGGAGGCTGAGTCCAGGACGCGGGGCGGGCCTGGGGGCCTGCGGCAGGCGGGGAGGGTCTGCAGCGCGTAGCTGGGCCCCTAGGACCGCGGTGTCGGCAGGGCCAGGCGTTTGCGAAGGCACAGCATTCTGCAGAGGGAAGGGACACAGGCAGCAGGCAGGTGCACACCCTCCGTGAGGGTTCCATAGAGGGAAGACACGGGCCCCTAGGGAGGTGAAGAGACCCTTCTGGGTGGAAAATAGGGAAAAGATAAACTGGAGTTGGGTGTGTGCACGCACACACACACACACACACACACACACGCTACTAATTCTGGAACTCTACCCCAAGAGGCCCCCCAGATGAGAACTCTAGATCTTAGTCCCCTCCTGATGAGAACTCTAGATCTTAGGCCTTAAATCTGTAGACCCAGTTAGAGATCTCACATTTAGCTCTTCTGTTCTCCCAGGAGCTACTTGATAAGAAGGATATTAATCTATTCAGTAAATGAAGTAATAGAGTCAGAGCAGATTGGTTATTTGCCCAGGTCAAACACCGAGGAAGCGAAGGCAAAAGTCCCAGTTTCTAGGGACCTAATTCTGAGCTTTTTTCAAAGGATTCTATGCATTTCTGATAGGAAAAGCAGTGTATTCTGATATAAAACCAGTTTCTTCCAGAATTTGATTCTTCAGAGAGAGGACAATGACAATTATCCCCTTATTAACCAAGAAGGTTCTGGAGACACAACTGAATTGTTATTTGTTGAAGACCTCACAGGACGTGGAGATGGAGAGTTGTAGGTTCTACCCACTTGATCTGACTAAAGCCTATTTTCTGGAGTCCTCAATAACAAGAGTCCATCCCCATGCAGCAGGTACCATGTAGTTTTCCAGTGACTCTTGGTGGATGTGCAATTGTTGATCAGTAATACCTTGAACTCTCAAGTGAATTTGCTGGCACTTTGACAAAGTTGGAAGTGCATCCTCCAAGTAAGAGTTCCTAGTCATCACAACATATAGCTAAATATGCAGTTGTCAAGAATGCCCAGGTTAACAAGACAAAGAATTGTAGTACCATAATACTAATTCCTTAAATCAGGAGTCCAGCATTTTGATAGGACATATTAGAGAGAAACAAAGATTATACATTAAACCATTGCATAAATAAAGTATAACCGTTCAGAAATTAGAGTCCTGAAGTTAGAAGGAATATTCCAAAAGGGAAAAAGTAGAGCAGGAGAGGGGTGGGCCTGGGTCTAGAACTTCCTAAGAATTGTTCAAAGGTAACATGAAATCCCTTATTTGGTTCTTATAATCTAAGAGAAACTGGACAGGAGCCAGTTATGAAAGCTGAAATGTTTTTTTGTTTGTTTGTTTTTTTAGGTTTCTGAATTCTTTGGGGCTTAGAAAATAACAGGCAGCAGTTAGGAAATGGAAGATCCTATTCTCATGCCAAAATCAAAATACAAACAGGAGTGACCATTAAATGGGGAAAAATATATATATTTGTGTTCTTTGCTTTCCTGCCTCCTATTCTAGACTCATGTCTGTGTGGTCCTTTTGTCTTTGAGCGCATTTTACAGTGACATTATATATGATTATGGTTATATCAAACAATCAAAATGTCCTTTTTCTACTCAGTTCCTGTTTATCCTTCGCACTTAAAAATTCTGCCTTTTTCCGTTTGTTGTTTTGTTTTTGTTTTTCCCTCCTTAGGTGCTCAGGAACAGCCCATGGAAGAATTATATGAAGAGGTGGTGATTAAGATTATAGAGCAGGAGTGGACATGTTTGGATTTCCAACAGCTACCCTGCTGGACTGTCATGGAAGATATGCCCAGAATGTAGCATTTTTCAGTGAGTGAGTCTGCTGGTGGCTGGGATGTCTTTTGCACACAGATACTCAGAGTCCATGTCCTCAGCACTAGTCCTCAGTCTGAGGAAGCAGAGGAGACGTTCCTTTGATGGAGCTCACTGTTCCTAGGGGTTACAGAAAAAGCCTGCAAGCTAGAGGGCTATGCTAGCCCTCGCATGCGTAGAAATAGTCAGAACAGAGCAAGATAATAGTCTAGACATGGAGGTAGACTCAAAGTAATATCAGAATGAGTAAGCACCTTTAACTGTCAGCACTATCACTGGATAAGAATAAAGCAGGAAATAAGGAGAAATTTTCCATAGGGGGAAAAAAAACAGTGATGAATGGATCCATATTTAAAGCACATAAGAGGCTCAGATACAGGACAGTATTGGAAAATACTATTGATACCTACATATGAAGTTTGAGAATAACTTCCAAACCAAAATTTATTTTAGTTCCACCATAGCTTAAATAAACTAAAAATAGTATAGATTTTAAAGGAAGGAATTTCTTAGATTCTATAATTTCCTGACTATATTTTAATATCAGATAAGTTACTTAACTTCCTTAAGCTCCAGGCCTTCATCTGTAAAATGGAACAATGAGCTCTGACTTGTACAGTTGCAGGTATTAAAGACAATAGATGTATAAAATCTAGGATCGTGCTACATATTTTCTAAGGTCATAGCGCTTACTCCACTCTTAAGAGCAAACTTAAGGAATAGGGTGGAATTGGGTTGACTCTTCATGGAACTAATACAGCTTGTGTGTCCGGAGCCCTTGCATGCATTGGTCTCTTCAGGACCCTTTGCCCAATTTTGTACTTTTTTTTAAAGGGGTACCTCTAAAGTTTTAAAGCTTTAGACCCTTTACATCCTGGAACCACACCTGTTTAGGAATCAGATAAAGCTTGAGTACAGGGCTCTTGTGTGATCCTGTATGATATTTTCCTTGATTTTCAGAGCCTATTTTCTTACCTACAAAATAGAGGTAATTTTGTCTACCTCACAAGATTATTCAGAAGACTAAATTAAATGTAGAGGCAATACACAGCTATGGAGTATTCCAGTGTTTGAAACCCACCTCTAACTTATTTAGCTACATGGTCTTGACAACCTCCCTATGCTCTTTTTTCCTGATCTGTAGCAATCCCATAGGATTAAATTATCTATGCAAAGTTCATAGTCTAATGCCTGGCACTTAATAAGCACTCAAACGATTGTGTTTCTATTTTCCATATTCTTCTCACTCAGCATATTGGTACCTCTTACATGACTTCCCTCTCATTTTATCAGATGTGATGACAGAAGCTCACCACAAATATGATCACTCTGAGGCCACAGGATCCTCAAGCTGGGATTTCCAGAATTCTTTCAGAAGAGAGAAACTGGAACAAAAATCCCCAGATTCTAAGACACTACCGGAAGATTCACCTGGAGTGAGACAGAAGGTCTATGACTGCCAAGAATGTGGAAAGTCCTTCAGGCAAAAAGGTAGTCTAACATTACATGAGAGAATTCATACTGGTCAGAAGCCATTTGAGTGTACCCATTGTGGAAAAAGCTTCAGGGCCAAAGGCAATCTTGTTACACATCAGCGAATACACACGGGAGAGAAGCCTTATCAGTGCAAGGAGTGTGGGAAAAGCTTTAGTCAGCGTGGTAGTCTGGCCGTCCATGAGAGACTCCACACTGGACAGAAACCCTATGAGTGTGCCATTTGTCAAAGAAGCTTCAGGAATCAAAGTAACCTTGCTGTTCACCGAAGAGTTCACAGTGGTGAGAAGCCCTATAGATGTGATCAGTGTGGAAAAGCTTTCAGTCAGAAAGGAAGCTTAATTGTTCACATTAGAGTCCACACAGGTCTAAAACCCTATGCCTGTACCCAGTGCAGGAAGAGTTTCCACACCAGGGGGAATTGTATTCTGCATGGCAAAATCCACACAGGAGAGACACCCTATCTGTGTGGTCAATGTGGAAAAAGCTTCACTCAGAGAGGAAGTCTGGCTGTGCACCAGAGAAGCTGCTCACAAAGGCTCACCCTTTGATCATTCTATTCAAAGGAAGTTTTATTTCTGAATTAAGGGTACAAAACCCTCTGTTATTGAGCTGCATATCCAGTTCTATGGAATGAATGGAGAATATTCTAGGAAGACCAGTAGGGCAAACAAACTTTTTTCCTTATTCTCAGATGAGTATGAAAAATAAATGTCTTGTTTATCATTATCATGTATTTTTCATAATTTGTCATGTATTTTTCATATTTTGACTTAATTTCCCAGGGTACCCTTATTAATCTAGAGTCATACTAGAGATTGAGTATAGTAGATACAGATTTTAAATTTGTATTTGACACCATCAGCCTTTAAAAATATCAGCCCCTAATCAATCCCAAGGTCATTTTCTTCTCTACATATTCAAATTAATAATTGTTTTGCATTCAAGACCAGTAGGTAGAACACAAGGGGCAAATTTAATTAAGAATTCTCTTTGAACATTTCATTACCTGGATAATGAATCATTACTCCAATAACCTATTCTAAAAAACCACTCTGTCCATAGCAGAAGCCTTAGCCTTTTCTTATAAAAGAAGTTTCCTTTCCAAGACTACAAAGGTTTGGAGTTTGTACGTTAAGATTTCCTTCAGTCCTCCACTTCTAACAGTAATAATTTGCCTGTACCTAAAGAGCTGACAAGTACAACTGTGCTCTTTTGAAGAATCCTGAACTGATTGTTATGATTATTATGCCCTCTTAAAAGGACTTCTGTTCTCTGAAAAACATAATGACCCTCGCTGCCACTTTGGCAACAATAGCAACATATTGGGGTTAGGATCACCTAGAAAGGACATAAGCCTAGACTTTCAATTTATAGTCAGTTATGACATCCCACTCTTCTAACAATACTATCCTTTTCCTTCTACACACAGAAAATAAATTTGGAAAGATAATTTGTTCTTTATTTTTTTCCCTCTAGTGTATGAGATTTGAAGAAGGTTGTAGAGAAGTTGGTTTTGTGAGGAATTTACACTTCTAAATGTCAAAATTTCATGATAGCAAATCTTTATGATCTAGAGAAGTAAATGAAATCAAAGGGCATTATGGATTTGATTATTTTAAAAGAGTAGTACTCCCAGAGACATTCTGATAAAACTTGAAGATGTATGCAAGATTGGGATAATATCCTCATTTATGATAATCACACACTGGAAATTACACAAATGTCCAACAACAGGTGGGGAATGAACAAACTGTTTAATATACATACATTAAAACAATAGCAATTTAAAAATCTGATATTGGCAACTTATGACTGAATTTCAGTCCAATGTTGAATGAAAAAACCTAAATACACATACATGCAGATATAGTGTATAATTCCATTTATATATCTTCACATGAAAAAATGGGAATGATTTAGAACAGACACAAGAATTTTTTAAAGTGTTCTATACCTTACTTCAGGTGGTATATGGAAGAGTATAATTGTTAAAATTCATTGAAACCAACACTTGAGAACTCTGCATTTTATTATATGTAAAATATATATCCATAACAATGAGTCAGTTCTTAAATATAAATATTGCCCACAGGTTCTTTGACACTAATTCATGAAGAGATGGGGTAAATATCACCTTCCTTTTATCTGGATTGGCTGGTGACTGCTTCAAACAATAGAAACAGCAAGTGATGCTATATCACTTCCAAAGACAGGTCTGAAAAGCCCTTAAAAGTTTTGAAACAATTGCTGGGTTCTCTTGGGACACTTGCTCTTGGGGATAAGCCACCTTATAAGAACGGTTCAAAAACCACTATAGTACACAAGGTGTATATTAAGTGAGCTGAGCTCCCGATAGATAGCCAGCATCAACTCCCAGCCACAGGAATGAGTTACTGCAGATGTTCAGCCCAGAAGAATCATCAGATTACTATAGCCTTGGCTGAGATCTGATCAATACTGCATAAGAGATCCCAAAGTGTCAACCCACAGTGTCATATCCACACCATTGACTAGAGAATGTCCCCTCTAATCAATAAGCCCATTCATGTAGTAGCAGAATGCATTTCTTAGTGGTAATAGGATTGAGGCTCCCTCAATCTTACTGGCTACTGGCTGAAGTTTGTCCTAGGGCCATCTCATGTTCTCAGCTACCACATGGCAGTTTGCTTCTTTAAGTCCAACAGAAAAAAATTTCTCTTTCCAGTCTGCTAAGAATAGTCTTACGTGATACAGCTTAATCATAGCAGTGACATTCAATCATATTTGCTATTCCCTGTCAGTTTGAAATGTTGGTTCTACCCATACTCAGGATTATACAAGGGCATGACAGATTGGGAGTAACTTTAGTGTAATCATTTTCAAGGGCTTCTAGAACAAAGCATTACAAACTAGGCACCTTAAAAACAACAAAAACCTATCATCTTACAGTTATGGAGGCTAGGAATCCAAAATCCAGGATGTCTTCAAGGTCATGCACCATCTGAAGCTTGTTGGGCAGAATCCTTCCATGCCTCTTCTTAACTTTGGTTGGTTTGCTGGAAATCTTTGGTGTTCCTTGACCAGCTGCAAGACTTCATTTTCTTTCTGCATATGTAGTCACATGGTGTTCTCCCTCTGCCTGTGCCTCTATGTGTCTTTTTTTTAATATGGACACCAGTCATATTGGATTATGGGCCCATCCTATTCCACTCTGGCCTCATTTTAACTACTTAAATCTGCAAAGACTATTAACAGATAACATTCTGAAGTATTGGGAGATAGGATTTTTTGAAGAACACAAGTGAACCCATTACACTTACCATGTGTCTACCACAGTATCAAAAACATTACTCTGAAGAAATTCATGTAATTGTAACCTAGTGGTACTCCAACTACAGTTCAAGGGCATCAGCATCACTTGGAAACTTGTTAGAAATGCCAATTATCAGGCACAGATAGGCCTATTGCATCAGAAAATGCAGGGAGGCAGAAAAAAAAGGGACAGCAATCAGTTTTAACAAGTACACATAATTTGACTCCCAAAATGATTAGATTCTCTAGTTTGGGAAGTCAAACAACCCAAAACTCAAGGGGCTGGGGATGTGGCTCAAGTGGTAGCCCACTGGCCTGGCATGTGCGAGGCACTGGGTTTGATCCTCAGCACCACATAAAAATAAATAAAGATATTGTGTCCAACCCAAAACTCCTTTTAAGACAAAAGAACATAAAGAAAAATCTCAAGTCATCAGGAAACCTGGAATGTCCTACCCTTTACAAAGAGCATCAAGAGAGTACATCCGCCTTTTMCATGCCCAATTCATGATTGCTGAATTTTCCATTCAAGATTCAATGCCACCATAGATGATAAAAAGTCAATCTGAGCGGCTGGGGCTGTATCTCAGTGGCAGGGCACTTGCTTAGCATTTGTGAGGTACTGGGTTTGATCCTTAGCACCACATAAAAAATAAACAAAGACATGCTGTTCATCTACAACTATCAAAAAAAGAGAGAGACTTTTAAAAATAGTCAATGTGAATAAATAAATACAAGATTTCTGGCCTAATTTTGACTTCAAGTCAGAGGGAAGAGCACAGATCAGCTATAGCACCAAAAAGTCCGACATAACTCAAATCTTAACACTTCAGTCTTCCCTTTGATCATCAGCACAAGCCTCTCCCAAACTCTTTTACCAGACCACCCACCAAGACAGCGAAAACCAGAGTGTCTGTGGCCCTGTCACTGGTTATTACTTTTCTTCACTTGCATTCATGGTCATTATGATGTCACTGCCATAGGATCAGGAACACAGTAACAGAATGAARTGTGTACAGTCCAGCTGTTATTAAGACTTTTATTTCTGCAGTTCTGAATCCCACTTTACTTCTAGAGAGCCTTTAATTAAAAGTAAATCATTCCACAATTCTGCTTCCTTTCCAGGTTGTATAATGCCATGGTTCAAATGTATTCCTATATGTACCAAATTTCATGTGTTGGAAACTTAATCTCCATATATTTATAGATTTTAGATGAGATCATGAAGTTGGGGCCTCCATGATGGGATTGATGGCTTTATGAGACAAGGAAGAGAAAAAGAGACCTGAGCTAGCATGCTTGTTCTCTTTCCATGGGGAACCTCCTGCCACATCATGTCATAAAATGCAGCAGCAAGGCCCCCACCAGATGCCAGCATCTTAATCTTGGAACTTCCCAGACTCCAGAAAATAAATCTGTTTATAAATTACACAATCTTCTTTTATGTTCTCAGAAAAGTAGGCTGACTAGCTTTGACTTCTTCCTAGATTGCTACTATGACAATACATCAAATACATCACATACTACAGATGTAATAGAACATGTTTGACCATTACCATAACCACTCAGGATATTGGGGTTTTGTTTTGTTTTTTTTTTTTTAATGGTGCTGGGGATTGAAGCCAGGGCCTTGTGCATGCTAGGCAAGCACTCTACCAACTGAGCTAAATCCCCAGCACTGTTTCTTGAGTTTTTGACTCTATAAACATATAATCCTAACCATTATCTGTTCTCACTCCACCTTATTCATTCTTTTTTTTCCCTACCTGATTCTTTCTGTCCTTGTCTCTTAATTCCAACTTTGAATCTCCTGTTGTAACACTCTTGTATAAATGTCTCCTCTTTCTAGCAGTCATCTACTACCTCCTGGGTCAGTCTTTGAAGATTTTAGTTCCTATATCATTGTCACTCACTGCAGCTCTACTCACAACTGTTGAGATACTTATGAATGATCCCTTCATCACTTTTCCTCCTTACTTCCAATGATTTTCCTCTCCATACTGCCAAAACCAATTGCCTCCATTCATAATCAAATTTTTAAGTTTATTTTTCTTTTCTTTGCATGTGCTCTCTCCCTCTGCCCCACCCCCTGAAATTCTAGCTATGTTGTCTAGGCTGGAACTCCTGGACTCAAGTGATCCTCCCACCTCAATCTCCTAAGTAGCTGGAACTTCAGACACCCACCACCATGTCTGGGTTTAAGTTTTTCATTATCAGTTCAACAGTATCTCAATTTTAATCATCCCATTTTCTGATTATCAATTCTTATCTTTGCATCTAACTCCCTCTAGTAAGTTAACTCCAATAATTTGCCTGCTCTCATAATTCATTTATCCCACTATTTCAAAAGGTAAGGAAATTTATCTTTTCCTTAGCAGCTTAAATTACATTTTTTTAAGTTTTTAGTTGTAGATGGACA